CCGGCACAGGGGCCATTTACACTGGGAGGCATGGGGCCCTGGAATGGGGAAGCAGGAAGAGCTCATCATTTTGGCAGGATCTGTAAGAGGTATGGGTACATTGTGGTTTTTTTGTTTTGTTTTGTTTTTTGGTCGTCTTTTGGAAAGAGTGCTTTGTCTTTGCAAGTGATTGTGCAGGGATAGACGGGGTTGCTGTCTGGTGCACTACCTTGCTAAATACTTGACTTTGTAAGGTTGAATTCTCCAAGAATTATCGTGGCAATACGGCCGTGCTTGGAGCCAAGCTTTCCTCTCAAGGAAATGCAAGCTGCTATTTATTTTGGCATGCAGCCTGTTCTAGGATGAAATACGGCGTTTTTATTATTGCAGAATAAAGAGAGGTTTGAAGAGAATAAAAGTACAGAACTAGGTTTCAGTTTCAGGACTAAGTAAAGGAAGGTTTCTTTGTATTTGGATTTGAGGTTAGGAATGAGATTGTAAATGGCATCATAAAAGGAATAACTGCAGAGAGGGAGAGGGTGTAGGTCTACACTGCAGGAGTCAGGCTGGCTGGGGGAAATCAGGACTGTTCCTAATGTGGCCTGGTAGTCACACGTGGGCTATCAGAGTGACTACCCCTTTGGTAGATTTTGAACGGGCAGCCTCAGTCCCCATCTCTTCACTGCCGGTTGGCTTGGAGAGGGGGTGTGGAGGGATGAAGTCGCACAAACTGTCCTACCCCTAGGTAACTGGGTAACTTTGGATCGGCCACAGAGCCTCTTTGTGCCTTCGATGTCGTGTTTGTAATTCGGAGGTGCTACCATGAACTGAGTGTCTGCCACATGTTAGGATGTGGGGGTGTGGTGGTGGGGGGTGAAGGGGAAGAGATGAGTCCTGCAGGAATTCTGACCTTCGCAAGCTTACAGAGTAGGAGGGGAGAGGAGCGAGAGAGAAAAAGCTGTATATACTTGAAACATCTAGAATATGATGAGCTAATGAGAGAGGCTGGGACTGAACGGGGCATTCTTGATCCTGGGATAAGCCATCAACAAATGAAAAGTTACATAACAACACCAGGTAGTATAAGGTTCTGAATACCGAGGATACAACCTAACGGCATTGAGTAATAAATTGCTTTATGTCAAAATTTTTAGTACTTTAGAAGGTTGCAAAATTCCATTCGAAAGGGGACTTCTGCCCAACAAAGTTAATTTTCATATTCCGTTGCATTGCAGAATAGCATGTGTTGATGTGGCAATTTTTCTTCAATTCCACTCACCAAATCACATCAAACATATACCCTTAGCTAAATTCTAAGATGTCCACCCCTAGGACCATGCCTGGCCCAAGTGCAGAAGGAGGCTGGGGTGGGTGAGGCTGCCAGGGGCAGGATGTGGGCCTGACAGTTCCCTCCTTTCCTGCCTGTGTCTAGACCTTTTCCAGTGGAAGCTTGCTAAGCCCTCTTCTTCAGAGAGTTGGGGTGTCAGCTCCATTTAATTTCTGTAACCTTGCAATGATTGATTTTAGTAAAATTCAAGTCTAAGAGAACTATTAGAAGTCTCCATAGAGTTCTTTTTTTTTTAAGATTTATTTATTTATTTGAGAGTGGGGGAGGGGAGGGGCAGAGGGAAAGATCCTACAACCCTGAGATCTGACCCAAGCTGAAACCAGGGGTCGAACACTTAACCGACTGAACCATCCAGGTGCCCCTCCATAGAGTTCTTTTCAGTGAAATTTGACCTAATGTGTGCTGCATAATTATTTGAGGCCCTAGGATCTGATACATTAAGGGCTGAATCCTAACTCAAACCAAAGGCAGTGAGTGTGACTGAACTCTCTGAGGTGAGGTGAGTTTGTGTCAAAGATCCATCTGCACCCAGGTGGCCCCCTCTTGCTTAGAAGGAGCCTTGTTGCTTAGTGTCCAGTCTTGGAGAAGCAGATCACACACACCTTTGGCCAAGAGGCCTTACAAGAGAGTAGTTCTCCTTATCTGTCCCAGAAGGTGTTTTACACATACTTGTGGGAGAAGCAGAGAAGCATCAAAGTCAGGAACATTTCCTGCTCCCCAACCCCCCGCCTCCCCTCCCCCACCCCGCCGAGAGAGCTAGGGATCAGTTGTAGCATCGGGACTGGGCAAATGTTTACAAATCACTTCCCAGGACATGACTGGAGTCGGCTAGACTTGAGGGCAAATCCTGCTCTAACAGCTGCTTGTTATGTGACTTTGGCAGGCCTGGAAACTCTCTCAGCCTCAGTCTCCCTATCTAAAAAATGGGGACAATAGTAATAATCTCCTTGGGGTTACGGTGAGGATTGCATGAGATAATTCGAGCATGTTAAGTGCTTTGAACTCTGCCTGTTGCTCAGTAATGATATGGGGTTGGAGGAAGAAGGGAACAGAAGGGAGAGGAGAAACCTATGATGATGGAGAGACAGGTGAGGGGCCGCGCTTAGAGTTCGTGTCCTCACCCTTCTCTTCCCCAGACTTCACCTTGAAGCTGCCAAGCCTCTCCTGCCTGCCAGCATCTGGGAGGCTCCCCCATCGCCTGCAGGCTGCCGACCTGTGGCATTATCAGCCGCAGTGTCCTCTGCCTGGAAACCTTCTCTTGTTTTTCTTTCTTTTTAAAAAAAAATTATCTTTATTTTTTAATTGAGATAACTGAGACATAATTGACATATAATATTGTATTGGTTTTAGGTGTACAACATAATGACTTGATATTTGTATATATTGTGAAATGGCTTCCACAGTAAGTCGAGTTAATATCTGTCACCATAGTTACGAACTACATAACACCATAGTTACATAGTTACAAACTATTTTTACGATGAGAACTTTTTTTTAAAATTCCCGCCTAACACAGTGTTATATATCAGTTTCAGGTGTACCGTATAGTGATTTAACAATTCTAAACATTACTGAGTGCTCATCGTGGAAGTGTGCTTTTAACCCCCTTTATCTATTTTGCCCATCCCCCCACCCATCTCCCCTCTGGTAACCAGCTGTTTGTTCTCTATAGTTAAAAGTCTGTTTTTTGTCTATCTCTTTTCTTCTTTGTTTGTTTGGTTTCTTAAACTCCACATGAGTGAAATCATATGGTATTTGCCTTTCTCTGACTGACTTATTTCACTTAGCATAATACCCTCTAGATCCATCCATATTGCAAATGGCAAGATCTCATTCTTTTTTATGGCTGAGTGATATTCCATTGTGTATATGTGTGTGTATGTGTGTACTGATATATATATATCACACTTATGATGAAGACTTTTAAGATCCACTCTCTTAACAACTTTTAAATATGTAATACAGTATTATTAACTATAGTCGTCATGTTGCACATTACATCCCTATGACTGGAAGTATGTACTTTTTGACCACCATCACCTATTTCATCCACCCCGTCACACTCTGCCTCTGACAGCCACCAGTCTGTTCTCTGTATCTATGAAATCGGGTGTTTTCAGATTCTACAGACAAGTAAGATCATATGGCATTTGTCTTTCTCTGTCTGACTTATTTCACTTAGCATAGCGTCCTCAAGATCCATGCATGTTGTCACAAACGGCCACGATTTCCTTCTTTGTCATGGCTGAACAATATTTCATTGTATATATTTACCACACTTTCTTCACCCTTTCATCCACTGATGGACACCGAGGTGGTTTCAGAACCTTTTCTTTCTAGCAAGGGCAAACCTCCCTCGCCTCAGGTCAGAACCTTCCAGATCTCTCCACTTGCTGCCTCCTTAAGCAGCCACACTCGCCCTCCTTCAGTCACACTTGCCCTCCTTCTCCCCAACGTCTCTCTACTCCAGCTCTATGCGGCATTCAAACTCAAGTACTTGTTGCCCCCAGAGTAGGTGAGGTACTTCGTGTTGCCATTCCCTCTGCAAGGAGTGTCTCTGCCCCTAGAAACCAGGCGTGCCCTTCCGGGCTCTGTCACACTTGAATAGGTAAAGGCCCCTATGGCAGCTCATGGAATGGGTTTGGAGTGCTCACAGAGAGAGGATACATGAAATTTTGCCGGGCAGATTTTAGACTTCCTCTCGTTTGGTGGACCACACATTTCCCAGCCCTCTTCCCCAGTTTACTTATTTCTTCCCCTTTATTCCATCCCGGGTTGTTGGAGGCCACCCCTCATCCATCTCTTACTCCCAGTTTCCCCCAACCCTTCCCTCATCCCCAGTACACTTTTCTGGTCCGGACTTCATTGCCAAGCACATTGGAATTCCCGAAACAACCCTGTGTCCACTGCTGAGGTGTCAGATAATTCACTGTTATGATGTGTGTGGAGTTAGAATGATAAAAAGACCATTTCCTGGGTGATTTATTATAATGAGGGCAGGAGCCACATTGTTTACCATTCGAAGAAAGAGTCCTGGCAATGGATTAAAACTTTGGGGAGAATTTATGATCAAACCTCAAGGTATCCTAATTCAGTCTGGACAGTCTTCTGCCTGAATAGTTCCTGATGTCTTTGGAGCACCCAGCTTGAACTTGCCCTGCCCTGCCCAAGATTAGACATCACCTCTAAGGAATAGTGCCTCCTCAGTACTTGCAATGATCTCAGGCCTGTTTTGAATCTCATTGGGATGTCTCAGATCATTTATAGGTACTCTGGTTCCAGTTTTTTTCCCCCAAAATGGATTAGAATTATTTTACCATGATGGAAGGGAGTAGATTACAGCTTTTGATGTTGTGGAAGGAGTACCTTGCTAGTTGTCAGAGCTCTGGGCCTGGCTCTGCCCCCTTCACTAGAATGCTGAGAGGCCCCGCACAAAGCAATTAACTTCTGAGCCTCAGTTTCTTCGTCTGCCAAGTGAGGGGGCTGGGCCAAATACTTCCTTTGGTGTCGACCATCGCTAGCATCCTGGGAAGACATGCCCAGGGTCGGACACACTCTAGGAGGAGTGTGGAGCTCCCGGGCACCCCTGGGAGAAAGGCAGGGATGGGAGTTCTTTGGGGTGCTCTTGCCTCCATACTTATGCTAACTGTCCTTCTGTCCTTCTTTCTTTCAGGACTCTTCAGTGGGTTGTACAGACTTATCGGATGAAGAGTGCCTGAGAGACTGACAGTCTGCATTCCCTAAGATGGAGAAGACAGATGGTAGGCAGGCTGCTCTGTATAACCTGGTCTAAAGTGAGCACTTGGGTTGGAAAGGGATTGCTACCATAGATCCAAGAAACAGCCTAAGGGAGGCTCACAAGAGACATTCCCCACACAGATAGTACTGGGAGACCCAAACTATGTGTTTCAGGTATGAACGAGAGAAAGTAGTAGAGAATGAGAATGAAGACTTCTGTAATTGTTGGACAGTTTTCTCATTTCTTCCAAGCACCAAGAAGGGAGCAGGATGCTCTCACTCATTACTCTCATTTTAAGGATGAAGAACTTGAGGTCTGAGAAAGAGGCACAATATGGTGAAAGAGCCTCCATGTATATCTGGGTGACTTCCTGTTATTTAACTCCCCTGAGCCTCAGTCTCCTCATGTATCAGCTTTGCTGTGGAACAAACCACTAAAAAACTTATTGACTTAAAGACATTTACTATTTCTGAAAAGATTCTGTCTGGGCCCTTTTTTCTGGTCTGGGCCAGCACGGCTGGTATTTGCTGGGCGTCTTCATGTGTTTGTGGTCTTCTGGGGCACTTAGCTGGATGGTTTAGAATGGCCACACTTACATGCCTGTTGGTTGACTCTATGTCACCTGGGGCACAGGTGATGATTTGGCCATGTGTTTCTCACCACCCAGCAGGTTAGCTGGGGCCTATTCACGTGCTGGCAGAAGGGTTCCAAGCACAGCAAGAACAGACAAACCCCAATGTGCCAGCAATTGTCAAGTCTCTGCATATGTCACACTTGCTTTTGACCCACTGCCCAAAGCAGGTCACAAGACCAACCTCAGGGTCTGTGTGGGAGAGGAGGGTCCAAGAATGGGGTATGATTGTGACTGTTTCTGCAAACAGTCTACCACACCTCGTTTATAAGCAGGTATTAATACCTATTCATACGGTTGGTAAAACACTAAATGAGATAATGCATGCAAAGTTGTTGAGTAATACTATCTAGCGCAACAAATGTTTTCATGAATATTCCCCTCATCCCCTGCCCAGGAAACTTGCTGAAGGTCATAGACTAGACCCTGATCTCCTGACTTCTTCTTCTTCTTTTTTTCAAGATTTTATTTTTAAGTAATCTCTACACCCAACATGGGGCTCAAACCCATAATCTTACATTTTTTTTTAAGATTTTATTTATTTATTTGACAGAGAGAGAGAGCACAAGCAGGGGGAACAGCAGAGGCAGAGGGAGAAGCAGGATCCCCGCGGAGCAGGGAGCCCAATGCGGGGCTCGATCCCAGGACCCCGGGATCATGACCTGAGCTGAAGGCAGACGCTTAACCGACTGAGCCACCCAGGCGCCCCTCAAACCCATGATCTTGACATCAAGAGTTGCATGCTTCATCGACTGAGCCAGCCAGGCAGCCCCCCAATCTGCTGACTTCTAATGAAATGCTCTTTCCAGATCACCAAATGTCGGGAAACAGGAGTGCCTATAATCCCCGAATCACATGACCCTTCACCAGCACAGGATTTAGGCACCAGACAGCAGCCCCAGCCCTGCGCTCTTCCTTCTTTCCAAATGTAGTCACTGTATATTTCAGGAGTCTGCCTTTCTCCCCAGAGAGCTGCCTTTTCATGGAAGTGGTTCCACAGAACACCAGCTAATTCTCTTCATGCCCCAGGGGCCTGTCATTCCTGCCTGCCTCATTTGTCCCTGCTCAGCAACCTTAGCACTGCTGTGCTACTCCACGTGATTCCCACAGCTAGCTCAAGAAAGGGCCCCCCTCCCTTCAGGCACAACCGCCTCATGAAATAAAGGCAGAAGAGGGACAAGCTTCCCTCACTGTCTTGGCCTTCTGAAGAGGCTCATTAAATTCCCCTTCCTTCCCGCTGTGTTTTTGGCCACTTTCTCTATAGTTTCTGTTTTACCCATTTCCTTCAGAAACCTAGTGTAGTCTTTTGGACTTTTCTTTCTCGCATTAAATACCTCTGATTCATTAGCTCACCTGCTGAACTTCACTGTGTTCTTCAAGATAATCACTGTGGCATCTCCTTCCTTCCCTAGGCCCCTTCAAATCCCCTTTTCCTTGCGTCTGTGAGTCTTAGGCTCATGACTGTATTTGCGGGTCATTTCCAAGGGTCTAATTATCTGCCGTGCTTTCAGACCAAGACTCTGTAGGGAATCCTAGGTAGCTCTGAGCCTATATATCTTACTTTTTTCTTCTCCCCTGACTCATTTTCCCAGTTCCTCCAGAATTATCTTCTTGGACTCTTGAGGCTGTCATTCTAACACAGAGCTAAATATTCCAAAGAACGAGCACACCCTCAGCAAATCCTCCCCTGCCCGGCTCAGAACCAGCCCATCGTGCCTTTCTTGAGTACCTGCGCCATATTCTCTCTATCGCATTCATGCTAACAGCCACAACAACTCTGTAAGTTAGGTATTATTATCACCATGTTACAAATGGAGAAACTGAGGCATAGGGGAATTCAGTAATTTGCCCAGAATCACAGAAGTAGGAAATGACAGAGCCAAGATTCAAATCCAGCCAGTTTAGCTATGTGTTCGTTTATCTGATCAGAAGCTCATTTTGAGCAGAGATGGTCCTCTTAATTAATTTTTGCCCTGGCCCAATGCCCGGAATTCTGAGCTCCTTCATACCTGTCACCAGGTAGAATTAAGAGGAACAGAGCCAAATGTGAGCACAGGTCTGCTGGCATATCAGATCAGCTCCCTCATTCAAGGTCCAGCATTCGTTTTACACTGGGAGGAAGAAAAGGAACACAGTGGTGGGTGGCGGGTGGAGCAGGTGTGTGTGTGTGTGTGTGTGTGTGTGTGTGTGTGTGTGTGTGTGAGAGAGAGAGAGAGATACCCCATAGTACTAGCTTAGGAAAGCACCTATGTAACCCATCATCTTGGATAGCTGTTCAGTCTCACACTCCTTTGGTTTCCTTCAATCTCCCTCGTGGAAGATTTTGCCTTTGAATCTGCTCTTTCTTATTTGATGCTATTCTTGTATTTGTGCTCTGGACCTCATCCCAGAGGCCACCGGGTAAATCAGCCTCAATTGAATTGAGGCAATAAGCAGATAAATAATGCAGCCTTTCCTTTAGGAGACTTCTCTGCCTTCCGGGTCATAAATCTGCTCTCTGCTTAACCTTAAACAAATATCTCCTCTCTGATTTGGCCTGTCTCTGTAATCCAGGAGGCTGCTGAGTCAACCAGGAGGCCTAAGAGGACAGCTGAGCATAGTCTGGAAATCTAACAGAGAGCAATAGCTCTCAGTTACTGAAATTACCAGTGTGCTTCTTTGGGGGAAAGCAGGTTGGTAAAAAAAAAAAAATTATGTGGGTGAATGGGAACTTATTTGGTGTTTTGGGGGGGCTTGGGAAGTATTCACTCCTTCCTGCCTGAAGTTCAGGTCCCTGGCACAGAAACGGTGGAACCCAATGAAGACCATCCCGTGGGTTGTCCCCTGCCATGGTCATGGTGTAACTGCCCACAGGCCCTGTGGCCTTACTGAGCATCGAGCCCGGTAGGCTTGATTGTGTCCGTGTGCACAGGGTCAGCCTGCATGTGTCTAGTTGGCCTCGTTTAGTTCTTTGGAAATAACTGTACTTGTCTAAGTACAGAGGGCCACCTGACCACACGTGGCACTGACTGAAAGGAGAGATCTGTCGGGCAAGAGGGAAGAGGTCAGGCCTAATGTGCCAGCACCTTTAGGGGAAAAGCAACCCCAAGAAGCTACCCCCAGGTAGCACCTTCATTTGCACCTTTTCTTTAACTTGTCCCTTTCCCTTCATTGCTTTTAGCTTCTCTTACCTGGAGCATGTCAGCCGGCTCCCATCTGGTCTCAGGGCCTTTGGTTTGCCCTTCTTCTAGTCCTCTGCGAGGACACTCTTTGTGACACCACCGTTGATTACCTGACGAGTAGAGTCAAGGCTTGTTGGTGTGCATGCAAGCTGCTCATGACCCGGTTCTTGCTGACCTTTCCAAATGTCTCCTTCTCCTGGTTCACCCTTCTCTACCATACATCACCCGCACTTATAGAACCCCAGAATACTGTGGCATTCCATACCTCCGTGCCTTTGCACATTCTCCAACATGTGTCTAGAATCTGTCCTGGCTATTTATTGCTGCACTACAAACACCCCAAAACTCAGTGGCTGAAAATAAGAATGTATTACTAACACAGGTTAGCTGAGTGGTTCTCACTCGGAGTCCCGTCTGTCATTGAAATCAGATGAGGGCTGGGGCCAGAGTCATCTGAAGGTTAATGCCTGGCACCTGGGCTAGGATGGCTGGAACAGCTTGGGCTGGTGAGGCAGCTCTCTCCCTCTTCCCACATCACCTCTCTATGGGGCTCTTTGGCTTCCCCACAGTATGGTAGGTCTCAGGGAAGTTGGACTTCGTACACGGCATCTGACCTTCCACTGAGAGGAACTTACTGGCTTCTTACGACCTAGCCTTGGAATTCTCTCAGCATCGTTTCTACCATATTATTTTGGTCAAAGGAGTCACAGTCCAGCTCAGATTCGAAGGGGTGGAGAAATAGACTCCACCTCTCAGTGTGGGATTCCCTTGACTGTACAGAGAGGGTGGGAAGTGATGGTGGCCATCTTGGAGATAAACAGCTACAATGTCTTTCACCCTCTTGTTCTGGCAAGTTCCTGTTTGTTCATTTTATGCCCAATCTTATGTCACTTTTGTGAAGTCATCCCTCTCCTCCCAAGGCAGAATTAACCTCCTGAAGAAACTGGGAAAATAAGTCAGGAAGGCTGTCTTTTGGGCACATATCTGTTACCATCCTTGGCACACCATGTTGTACCTACTGGTGTTTCTCCTACTTGACCATACATTTTTTTGAGGGCAGGTCTGTACCTAATTTATGTTTGTGTCCTTAGGATCTAGCTTAGCAACCAACACATAGGTCTGCAAAAAAACAGTGGTTGAAGTGAGCAAATTGAATTACTACTATTTTGTAATTTTGCCCCTAGGGCCCATTACCCTTGGAACCAAGCAGTCAGTCAGTCACAGAGAATTTGTGGAGCTCCTCCTGTGTGCCCAGGCAAATTAGCTTCCATTATGGGGCTTCAGTTCTCTCTGTTTTGTGTTTCCACAAAGACAATAACTACAATATTGAGTATATATGGATTTTCATCATTGTTCAAAGCACTTTATATGTATAAATTAATCAGTTCTCACAAGAATCTCACCTTGCTGTTAGTATTCCCACTGTATAGATGATAAGACATAGGGAGGCTAAGTAATTTCCCCAAGAGCCGAAATATAGACCAGGCTTTTGAATCTGCATTCTTGATCTCTGTGCTGCCCACCATGTGCTCTCCTGAGCTAAGCATTTTGGGGGCATGTTTAACAGAATGTCACAGAGATAATAAGGGGGATTACATGAGAACAAACTGTTTAACCTGAAGAAGAGGCTACTTGGAGACAAGTCCTTATGGATTCAGTCAAAGGACTGACTTGTCCTCAGCATCCCCTGCCGGAGTCAAGAAAACCACTGGTGCCTTGGCATGAGGGAGAACTTTCTCACCACAATGTCCCCTGACAGTCTGGGCTGCCCTGAAAAGTCATGAGTCCCGCTTCTCTTGGAGGACGTAGGCTGATGTCCCTTTGACATGGCCCTTGTCCCTTACCACCTTTTATCCAGTCTGTGAAGAATGTGATATTTCCTCACTTGACATGAGTTTTTGTTTTTTAAATATTTGTATTTATTTATTTGATAGAGAGAGATATAGTGAGAGAGGGAACACAAGCAGGGGGAGTGGGAGACGGCGAAGCAGGCTTCCCGCTGAGCAGGGAGCCCGACATGGGGCTCAATCCCAGGACCCTGGGACCATGACCTGAGCCGAAGGCAGACACTTAACGACTGAGCCACCCAGGCGCCCCTTGACATGAGTTTTTGAAAGTGAGGTTCATGTTTGTTAAGCACTAAGCAGTTTTCAGGTGCAAAAGAGCATGGGCTGCGCATGATTACACATGCCAGTTCTCTCTGATCTTCATGTGCCTGAAGGCTCACCCAGATGAGGACACTTACATAATGTAGAAGGCATAACTCCTTGATACCTCTGGCTTCAGCAAGATTTCCTAGTATCTGTTTGAGTAATGCGAGGTTCTGTCATAGTGTCGAGGCAATTGTGTACCTTATCCTTCAAAACACTCAATATTCATAATTGCCAATTAGTACCCTGATCTGGCAGATTCCTGGCCACTTGAGTTCAGCCATTACATGACTCAAACCCAGAAAAACAGTATGAGACTATTTTATTTTGCTGGCCTGCCAGCAGATTCCACAGCAATAACTGAGATGAATACTGCAAATTAGAAACTATTTCCTCTACCTATTTCCTTGCAGACATTGGCTAAGTACACACTGATTTAATAAACTGGATTCTCAGCATGGCCGGAAGACTGTGAGCATCTCAGCTTAATTTAGAGAAAGGGACATTTAGGAGAAGTCTCACGTGAGAGCATTAAGTCTAAATCACACATATTAGGCCTCACCACCCATAATTCTTATTAACATTGTGCTTCCTTTTTACATGTCTCCCAGCCAAAGACCAGTCCTCCTCTCAGGGGGATGAAGAGAAAGGCCCTCCAAAGAGCCACCCCTACTCTGTGGAAACCCCGTATGGCTTTCATCTGGACCTGGACTTCCTCAAGTACGTGGATGACATTGAGAAGGGAAACACCATCAGAAGGATTCCTATCCACAGAAGGGCCAAGCAGGCCAAGTTCAGCACCTTGCCTCGAAACTTCAGCCTCCCCGACAGCAGGGCTCGCCCCCATGCTGCTCTTCCCCACCAAAACTGGTCCCCAGTGGTGCCGAAGAAGGTGTCGCTGGGGACAGAGGAGCGAGCCCAGTCGCTGCCCCCTGGTGAACACCCGCAAGCCTCCGCCAGCGGGAGTGAGGTGAGCTACCACAGGAAGGCCCTACTGGCAGAGACAGCCAGACATTTGGAGGCTGGTGCGCCCAGGGAGGCCGAGCCAGCCCCCGGGAGTGGACGGCCCCAGCTCTTGAGAGCGTCCAGCATGCCAGCCACACTGCTACAAAACAGGGCCTCAGAGGACTCAAGCCTAAACTCAGGTCCCCCCACACCTCCGGCCCTCCCTCCACTTCAGGGTGAAGGCAGTGTCTGTGATGGCGCCTTTGGCCCTGCAGACGGATTTGCAGGTTTTCAGAACTCCACCCCACGAGCAACAACGCAACCCAAAGTCAGAGAGTTTGGGGACGTGGTGCCAGGGATTCCAGAGCTGGTCCAGGAGGGCACTGAGCCTCCTGAGGACGAAGATGAAGAGGAGGCTCCCAATCCCCTCTCTCTCCCAAGTCCTCCCGTCTTATCCCAGGATGCACTTGTTGTTCTGGAGGATGAAGAAGACGAACACAAAACCAGAGAAGCAGAGGTGGTGGTCACCCCTGGCTCCCCAACACCCAGCCCCCCACCGCTGCCATCACCCATTCCTGAGAATGAGTTCCCCCTAGAAGAAATCGAGCTCAACATCAGCGAGATCCCACCCCCACCACCTGTGGAAATAGATGTGAGGAGCATTGGCATCCGGGTCACGGAGGAAAGCCTGGGCCTCCCCGCGGTGGATCCCCAAAGCATCTCCAGCCTGAAGCAACGGCTCTCTGCCCTCGAGGGTGAGCTGTCTGGAAGAACCGAGGAACTGGCCCAGGTCAGAGCTGCCCTCCAGCAGCAGGAGGAGGAAATCAAGGCCAGAGGGCAGAGGATTCAAGAGCTAGAACACACTGTAGCTCAAATGGCAGAAAAGCTTAGCCACGAGAACACCAGAGACATTCAGGGCCACGCTGACGCCATGGTCAACACTGACCCCCTGCATGGACTCTTGCCCAGGGAGTCCTGTGACAAGAGCATTGAGGTCAACCTTGTGGGCAGCACAGGATCTGAAAGCTGGAGGGCCAGAGGACAGGAGAATGGCCTCTTCGGGGGGCAGGCCAGCCACAAGCGGGGGGATCGGAGCCCCGCAGAATTCGTGCCACCACCACAGCTGTCACTGCCACAAGGACCCGAGGTGGTCCTCGCCCCCTCTTTACCTAGCTGCCTCTCCACTGAGCTGAGGATTGAAGAAGCAGGCCCTGAGCAGGAGGGAAGCCCTCAGGTAGGAGCCGAGGGTCTGGGCGGGGGAGCAGGGCACTCTTCATGGAGCAGCGACAGAAAGACGCCCCCAGCAGCAGGGCGAGAGGAGACCAGCTCAGAGCTGCCGGGGAAGGAGCACCCGGGGAGGCCACCAAGCTCACCCACAGATGCCACTCTCGGCCAATACGTTAAGAAGATCCAGGAACTCCTGCAGGAGCAGTGGAGCTGCCTGGAGCACGGGTACCCGGAGCTGGCCAGCGCCATCAAGCAGCCCGCCTCCAAGCTCAGCAGCATCCAGAGCCAGCTGCTGAGCTCCCTCAACCTGCTGCTGTCCGCCTACTCGGCCCAGGCTCCACCCCAGAGGGAGCCCCCGGCCCCCTCTGCCTCCCCGCCCATGGGTAAATACTGGTGCCCAAGGCAGGGAGCCATTTCTCCTTTACCTGACAAGTCAAAGGGAATAGGGGTTTGAATTGCATGTGTATATTTTTCAAAAGGTTCAAGCACCTCCAGGAACCCAGTGGAAGAAACGCCGATCTATGTAACAGTGGAGGCCCTGTGCCCCTACTCTTGTCCGGGCTCTAAGGCTGGGACTGACTGCAGGGCCACCACATATAGCTGGCACAGATAGCACAGGGCACAAAGATGCCAGCCAGGAAGGCACACGGGGGCTGAAATTCAGCCCCCACTCACTTGCCAAGTCTGCAGCACCGTGTCCACCCGGGCGGCGCCCGTTTCTCACTTGCGTAGCATGAAGGCAATGTCTAGGGCAAGACGGGCCCTGGCTGTGCGTGCTCTAATCCTCAGCCTCCCTTCATTGTTTCCTGGGCTCTTGCCTTCCTGTGGTCCCCTCTGGTTCTTGCATTTAGGGGTTCGCTCTAGCCTGGTTTTGAAGGAGCACTGTATTGAGATCTGAAATATTCCACTGAATATTTTCTGTGTGTGCATGTGCGTGTGCGTGTGTGTGTGTAGGAGAGAGACTGAATGCTACATGTGGAAGGCGACCCTTGGGCTGAGCAGCACTTCTCTTGTAACAAGTTACACGCTCCTTTCTGTTGAGTAAAGTGGAACCATATTTTGCTTTGCTCAACGAGCAGTGTGCAAGCCTGCATCCTGCTGCAGATCACGAATGGGCTGCTTTTTTCATTATTTCGGTGCTAATTCCAGTCTTGCCCATTGGAAAATGCCTCCGATACCTTTGAGCACAGCAAAAAAGACGTGCTCTTGCTCACGCGTCTGCCATGCCTACCCCACTTCCCAGGTGTGTCAAGTGGCACGTAAGCCAGGAAAGACCGCGGAGGTGCCCTCGGGCCGACGTGGGTGCGGGAACAGGAGTCGTGTGTATGGGGTTCTGTGCCTGCCCCGCCGTTCACTGAGCAAGTCGGCTAAGACAGGGACAGTGATGGCACTCACGGCTCTTCTGGAAGAGTGCTCCAGGAACTCCACTCTGTCATCCACACACAGAGGGGCTTGTGAACAGGGACAGTTGGGCTGGTGTTGACTAGAAGGCCGGGCCTCCTCAAAGACCTTCACAATATCTGATTTACATGATCTAGATCTCTGTCCCTTTCTACCTCCTCCCATGCCTTCAGCCTGTCTCCCCTCAAAGCAAGAGTCCCGGTTTTGCTGCATTCTGGGACATCCCCAAGATCATTCTAACCTGTGATGTTGTGTCTACCTAGAGATCTCCCCGTCGACCAGCCTTAAATCCATAATGAAAAAGAAAGACTATGGCTTCCGTGCAGGAGGTAATGGGACCAAAAAGAACCTTCAGTTTGTTGGGGTTAACGGTGGGTAAGCATCGCTCATGAAGCCCAGACTGCCCCCCTCCACACTACCTATCCCGCTGTTGTCCTTAGCACTCTCTTTTCCTAGGGGGAAGCATCTGGTTTCCATTTTTCTTCAAGGGAATTAACGGCCCTTGAAAACTCCATCTTGGGTTTGCATGTGTTTGGCTCCTTGCCAGCTGTGGTGGTCTGTTGGATCCTGGGCTTTTAATGTCTCGGCTTTAGTGTCCCTGGGGACAGGGTTCCAGGTGGCTTCTGGGAGTTTGGGGAGCACATGGGCCCTTTACAGAAGACATTTAATCCGAACCATAACAGTGAAAGCAGGACAAACTCTTCATTTCTTCCTTTTACTAACTTCCTGCAAACCAAACCAGCATTTTTTAGGATGAAGAAAAACAACCAAGGTCTATTGACTCAGAACATGAACCAAACCTCATATATTCTAGAGAGTAAATTACTGGATTTATAATATTTTCTAAATCATTCAACAAACATTTATTAAATGCCGACAAATGTGTTAGGTGTCAGGGATAAAAAAAAGTCAAATAAATCCTTGGTCCCTGCCTTTAGCTCATGGTTTGGACAGGGCAGAGATAAGACACCGATCTGCTGAGATGAATTCTAGTAAAGAAGGGAGCATGGGCCCAAAGGAGGGGCACCAGACCCAGCCAGTGGTGGGCCCCGGAGGTCGGAATCCCTGCTAGTTTGGGTCAGACCAGAAGGAAGACACCAGATTTAAACAAGGGTGACGTCACTGTTGCAGGCTCTGTGAGGAAAATGTCAGAAATAATGACATGGGATGTCACAGGAGAGTCACTGTTGCCATTCCCACTGACGTCAGACTCTGTGAACCCAGGAGAAGCAGGTCCTATCTCTCCCCTGCCCCTGGCAGTGCCTGCCCCGTGCCCAAACCTGGAAGTCCATCCATAGCTATTGCTGGCCCCATTGTCTACCATCGACTCCCACCTGTCTTCCCTAAAATGTGCCAAGTGGGGCCCATCGTGGGGCCCTTGCATTTGCTATCTGTCCTTCCTTCTGTCTCCCCACCGCCCTTAAAGTGCCCGTCTCAGATATTCTTCAGTATTTGTCACTTTAGTGCAATGGTTCTCAACCTTGGCCACACCTTGGAAACCCTGAGGGAGCTTTAAACATACCAATGCCTGAGTTTCCCCCCACCCCCAAAAACTCTGGCTTCATTAGGCTGGGGTGCTGTGCAGATACTGGGAATGTATACACCCTCAAGTGATTATAATGTGCAGCCAAGGTGAAAAACTTCTGCTCTAATTAACGTAGGGCCTCCTCCCATTACTCTAGTCCATGGTCCTTTATTATTTTATTCATTGTTCTTATCACTATCTAATTATCTTGTTTACATGTTTGTTTTCTGTTTTTCTCTACTAGAAATAGAAGCTCAGTTAGGACAGGGACTTTGGTATAGCATTTAGAACAGAGTATGGCACACAGTAGGTGCTCAATAAATTTCTGTTGAATGAATGAATGGGCTTCCAGGTGAAGTTTTTATGGAAGCAACTGTAAGAGAAGAACTGCCTGGTAAACATAATATGTCCCCCCTTCTCTTAGTCACAAAAGCAAAAGGTTGTTCCAAGCACGACAGAGGAAGAAATATCTGTGGTTTTTTAAACAAGACAGAATGTGAGCATGCCAAGGAGCAGCCTGGCTCTGCAAATCCAGTGAGCATGGGGGCCTTACATAGGGGCCAGCATCCAGAGAAAGGGCCTAAGGGGGTTCAATGGAAGCTGTGGCCACTGGTCTCCCCTGGTCTCTGTGGCAGTGTTCAATGGCCCCAGAGCCTGAAATCTTCATCTTAACTGCAGGATCCTCTATCGGGGGGTCTCCTGTTGACCATCAGCAGAAGGATCCATAAATCTGCCGGGACTTCCCTCCACCGTCTGTGGTCTGCCACCTCAATGGAGTCACACAAAATTGAACCTAAGGATCACTGCTGGGGAGGGTGGGCCACGAGGCAAGGGGGCCATGCCCTTGCTTTTGCTGTTGCAAGCAGTAGCTGAATAGGCCGCAGCCAGGACACGCAGATGCTGGGTTCAGGCACCCTGACTGTTCGTGTTTCCTATGGAACACTGCTGGGAAGAGACACAGATGGGTCCTCCCATGTCAGGTGTAAGCCTGGCTGGAACAGTGGGGGAGAAAGGGAAGCTTCACAATCACCCAGAGACGTGAAGATCTGTCCGTCAACTCCAAGAATTCAGGGTGGGAGTGGGGGGTGTTTGCCTACATCTGGGCCCCTCTCTAGACAACACGTTAGGACTCCAGAAGCAAATGCTTTTGTGAGAATCTTGGACGGCTTATCTGGATCATCCGAATGCATAGGCCAATTAGGGCATGGGCTATTTGTGTGTTCCCTGCAAACAGCTTAATTATCTTTTCTCCCCAAGTGGTGTCCGGTGTCAGGCCACAGCTCTTGACCACATCTTTCTCTGACATAAGGTTCCTGGGAATCCCCTCCCCCAGGCGTGCAGATACAGAGAATGGAGGATGTGGTTAGCAAGCTGGGGATTATTATCTGAAGCCCTCTGAAGCCCACCTGGTTCTTATTTGTGTTGACCTGGACACCGGGCAGGAAACACAGAACGAGTGACCTTTGTCTCCTTCTCCAGCTACGAGACCACCTCAAGTGAGGAGACCAGCGGTGAGGACAGCTCCCCGGAAGATGTGTCAGACAGTGAGGCCGAGAAGAAATGTGATGGCCCAGAACATAGGCGGGGCAAGGAGGCCCACCCTGCCTGCAAGGCTGGGCTGAGCATCCCCGAGGGCGCCAGCACCACAGGCCAGGAAAGTGGGCCTGGGGAAGAAGTCCCCCATCCCAAGGCTGAGAGGTGAGTCAGATGGGTACAGATGGGGGCACCCGATCTCTGGGAAAGAGCAAGGGCACTACTTCATCCTTTTATTCTAGTCTATTTTTTCATTTGTTCATTCATCTTTCTACCCATTCACCAGTATTTCCGGAGTTTCTGATCTATGCCAGCCACAGACGTGAATCCCTCCTTCGTGGGATATATTGTCGCACACAGAGCTCTGCATGTAAAGCTAACATCGTCCCAGGCCTGGAAATGTGAAGGACTTTACATGTACTATAATCCTTTTAATTATCCTGCAAAGTAGAAATTATTATAATCCCCACTTTACAGATGTGGAAAAGAGGCTTAGAGAAGTTAAGGGACACAGCCGAGTGGGGCTTCTGACCAGGTCTTGTCTGATTCTCACCCACATGCTTTTCTGCCTATCCTGTTGGCCATGTTTTTTTAATATATTTTTTTTAATTTTTATTAACATATAATGTATTATTTGTTTCAGAGGTACAGGTCTGTGATTCATCAGTCTTACACAATTCAGAGCTCACGATAGCACATACCCTCCCCAGTGTCTATCACCCAGCTGCCCCAACCCTCCCACCCCCCACCACTCCAGCAACCCTCAGTTTGTTTCCTGAGATTAAGAGTCTCTTATGGTTTGTCCGCCTCTCTGGTTTCATATTGTTCCGTCCCTTCCCCTGTGGTCCTCTGTCTTGTTTCTCAAACTCCTCATATCAGTGAGCTCATATGATAATTGTCTTTTCCTGTTGGCCATGTTGACATAATCCCATCTTTTAAAGAGGTGTGAGGTCATGTCACGTGATGAAAAGCAGCCCTGTCTTTGAGGCTGGACACACGTGGGTTCAAATCCCATGTCTGCCATCATGTTCCTTTACACAGGCGCCTAAATTGTACTTGCCTCAGATTCCTCATCTGTAGTATGTGGGTAACAGCCACCTGACAGGTTTGATCTGGGGACTGGATGAGAAAAAGTATGTGAAATGCCTAGCACAGTGCCTACCACAGAGCAGGCTCTCAAGAAATAGTAGGGGGGCACGTGGGTGGCTCAGTCAGTTAAGTGTCTGACTCTTGACCTCAGCTCAGGTCTTGACCTCAGGGCCATGAGTTTAAGTGCCACATTGGGCTCCACGCTGGGTGTGGAGGCTACTTAAAAGAAAAAGAAAAAGTAGTAGAAATAAGGATAGTAAGTCCCATTACCAACATTGCCCCCCTCAGCCGGGGGGGAGTGACGAGCAGTGAATGGGGGCTCACTGGTAAGCAGGTCCACAGGGCTGCTCAACATGGCAGCACTGTAGAGACATGCTGAGGGCAGAGCTTCCTGGTGACCAGTGCCATCAAGTCCCACCCCGGGATGGTCTGTCTGCTCTTACACTAACACAGGAAGAGTGCTCAGCACCTAGAGCACCCCAGCTTAACTGAGTTTCATTGTATTGACTCTATTAGCTTGATGGTATTCTTCATGGAAGAATAACCTGAAAAAAATTGCTGGTAGGGATTGGGTTCTCTGGATTTTTCAAGTCACTTAGGCAGGAAATGTTTTATCCAAAGTCAGGAAGACAGCCTTCCCTTTTCCCAGCATGTCAGGAATTGCAGTTAGTCCCGTGGCCCCCAGAATGCTTTGGTGATCTGCTCCCGCCTCCTGAAAACAGCAGGATAAAAAGGGCAATGTGCTTGACTCACTCTTCAGCAGAGTTCAGAGGCCAAGCCTCATTGTCAGGAGGCTGCATTCAGCGGAATGCCCCTTGCCTGGGAAGTGGCCCAGTGTGGGTGCTTCAGCTGCTGAGAATCGAAAGTCAAGCCGGGGGATTACCTTCTTTTATATTAATATGAAAACTGATATAGATATATGTCTTTTTTTCTTTAGATATAAACCCTCAGAAGAATTCCTCAATGCATGCCGGGCATTGAGCCAACATCTGCCAGAAACTGGGGCCACCACCAACCAACTCTTGGTACTGTGATTTTTCACTGTCATGGAAGGATGTCCCTACTGTTTAAGCTGTTAGTTCCAACTGGGTGACTTTGGTCCCTTGCCTGAGGCAGCGGTGTGGATGTGCATGGAATCCCTTTCCTCTGGGTGCCCTCCTTTGCCCAAACTCTGCTGCTGGGGTGATGATGATTATGCTGGGAGACCGGACCTGATGCATATGCATCAGGGAGCAGCCTGGCGCTCAGAGGCACTGCGGAGCGTCATCAGGCATTGCACCTGAAAGTCCAGCATAAAACTCTATGTGGGCTTCAAAACCAAAGCAAACCTTGTGTGGCTTGGGCTCAAAATCACCTCCCAACTGGAGAGAACTACGGGCAGAGTGAGGAGTACGTGGAACGGGAACCAGGGGTTCTAGTCCCAGGACAGCTGCTGGTGAGATACTGAGCAAGTCATTTCACCGCTCAGAGCTTGTTTCCTCATTAATAAAATGAGGGTGGGTGGTGGGCAGCATGGTATTTAATTCTGTAGTCTTTACTATGTTGTTGGTGGTGGGTTTTTTTTAAGATTTTATTCATTTATTTGTCAGAGAGAGAGAGAGAACACAAGCAGGGGGAGCGATAGGCAGAGGGAGAAGCAGGCTCCCCGCTGAGCAAGGAGCCCGATGTGGGACTCGATCCCAGGACCCTGGGATCATGACCCGAGCCAAAGGCAGACGCTTAGCCGACTGAGCCACCCAGGTGTCCCTTTACTCTGTTTTTCGACACGAACCTCTGGGTCAAGAGACCAAAAGCAAAAAAAATACATCTGCTTGCTCCTTTAACACCTTCATGGCCCACAAGGAATTAAACATGTAGCCATTAGGTTTGACTTTTATTCGAGAGATCCTGGCGCAGATCCATATTCCCAAGTCAGGAGAGCCAACTGGTAGGCCCCGACGTGTAAGAGCCTATAAGCATTTTTAAAGCCCATTTTGTTCTCCTTTGCAGGAGGGCCTTAGGGATAAAAAAACGATTAATTCAGCCCAACCCATTTTGATTATTTTATCTTAGCTGATTTCGCAAAACAAAAACAAAAACAACCAGTATGTGATGTGAATGTTGATCGAAACTCCTGTTAAACTTAAATGAATTACAGAATTAAGCTTTATGTTCCTTAATATTAGGATCTTTCTCCAGATTCTCCTGAAGATTCCACATGAAAGGGAGATATTCTGATATATAAAGTGTTTCAGCCACAAAAGATTCCACTGTTTCTGCCTAGAAAAGTGATAGGGGAGGGAAGTCTGGCTGGCTCAGTTGGTAGAGCATGCAACTCGATCTCGAGGTCATGAGTTCAAGCCCCAAGTTGGGCATAGAGTTTACTTAAAAATAAAATTAAAATTAAAAAGAAAAGGAAAGCAATAGAGGATGTGCAAACCTGACACCACACCCATATTAGGATCAAAGTACCCCTTCCCCCACCCCACCTTAGAGACAAAGCAGGTTGTACAAGGGCCTCACTCTATAGAGCCATGGGAGGTTAGGGACCCAGCCCTGTTTCATCCCCATTTTGTAGATGGGACAGGTAAGGTTCAAAAAGACTATATGACTTCGAAGGTCACACAGCTGAGCTGGGACTTAAGCCTGGCCACGTGGGTTTAGTGACTCCAAATCCAGTTCCTTTCCAGAATGAGTGTGAAATCACATCCCCACGCTTTCTCCTCCGCTTCAGATAAATAACTTAAACATGTTCTATTTTAAACATGTAACACATGAGTAACACACAGAGTTGATGTCATTTGCTCTGGAACTCTCCTCATTCATGGTTCCAAAGGAGTTACATACTGCAGATAGTGGGGTCCTGCCAGGGTTGTTAAACCATTTTTTCTGAAGGTTCTAGCAAAGCTTAAAAGCCAAAAATAATTCAAGCACAGCTGTTTGGGTTTTATTTCTAGCATCACTTGGGTATGTTGTTTATCTTAGCCTTCAGCGTGCGTCTTCCCCATTAGTAAAATGTTGTGACTTGCTAGCTATGCCTATTAAGAACACACAAAAGTCCTGGTAGGGTCCGGGCTAAGGTCAATACAGGCTGGCTATATGTGTGTGAAAGACAGGGCCTTGGTTATGCTGTACATACAGGGGTGTGATCGAAACGCACAGTAGATTCAAAGTGTCACCTGGAAAAACGCTTTGTCACTGGTATTGTTTGCTCTCCCAGATCTCTTTCTACCTCACGTGGGGGGCTGTTCGCACAGCTTCCAACCCCCCCCCCCCGCCCCAGCTCTGACCCCTCCAGGAGTAGGTCACGTGGAGTTAGAGGGAGCTGAGGGACAGAGGTGGACGCATCCAAAGCTGACTTCTCCCAGTGGAAGCTAACAGCCCAGCTGGAGCTCCCCAGGCCAGGTGACCTCCTGGATTTGGAATCTGTTGGTATTTCAGAGGCAGAGCTTGAACACCCTCCGTCAAGAGTGGTTCCGCGTCTCCAGCCGGAAGTCGTCGAGCCCTGCTGTGGTGGCTGCCTACCTCCGAGGGGTCCGGCCCCACTCCCCACACTTCCTGCAGCTGCTGGTGAACTTGGCTGATGGCAATGGGAACACGGCCCTTCACTATAGCGTGTCCCACTCCAACTTCTCTGTGGTGAAGCTGCTGCTGGAGACAGGTCAGAAATGGTTGCGTCTGCTCAGTCTGGGTTCCTCCTTGAAGGGCCATTTTGGTACCCACTTCCTTCCAGCATGAGATTCTTCACTGTCCTGAGCTCCTGCTGTATTCTAGAACTGGACTAAACCACCATGCCTTTATTATGGCACTTATTCTTCACAGCACCCTTGTGATGGAGGTGTCATTATCCTCATGTTGCTGTGTGGGACAACATCATGCAGCCTAGGAGTGACAGTGTGGACAGATGGGTGATGGGGCTGGCTGAAGGTGTGTCCAGGCCCAATGGCATCTGTGAGTTTAGGAAGGTTGTATGAGGGATATCTAGGAGGGTACCAATAAGAGATATAAAACCCCAAATGATCTCTATGGGTTAGGCCCTCTGCTGAGCACTTGGCATATGAGATCTTGTTTAATCCTCAAAACTCCTGTTAATTGGGATGATTATCCCTGTTTTGTAGATGATGAAAGTGATGCTCAGAAAAGTCAACAGACTTTTGTGTGATCCTGAGAGCGCGCAATGACTCCATGTGTTGCTGGGGTTTAAAGGTGATACCATTGGTTTGTTCTTCTCATTCCTGGCATCCAGGAATTGGGGCACATGCTAGATCCGTAACCCTTACTTAGGAGGCCGGAGGAGGCGTTTAAGTGAGCATCAGGAAGTCTGAATTCCAGATCCAACAGCTTTCCCCCAACTTGGATCTTACCCACCCTTGCTTAAATGCCTCCCACAGCTTTCCATTGCTCTAAGAATGAAAGGCAGCTTCCTCAGCCTGGCCTTCAGGAATCCCGGATGGCCTGGCTCCCACCTGCATTTGCTACCTCAATCATCACCATGCATCCTCCTTCCATCCACTCCAGTTACATGGCCTCCAACTCACCAAGTTCATTCCCTCCGTAGGACTGCTGCATTCTCTTTCTATCTGAATCCTTCTCCCTGAAGCCCTTCTCAGTCCTGGCTCCTTCTCATCATTCCAGTTCTCCAAAATTCTGTTAAGCAGTATTGAGGGCTTTTTACCTGAATGGAAAGGTGATGTACCTAATGACAGCCTAAAATTCTTTCTGCTTTCCACACCATCAGAGGAAGATAAAGTCACAACTCTAACATTGAGCCAATTGCACTAGATTTCAGTTCTTCATGGATTCATGGACACCATAAAAGGGGTAGCTCAGTTGAGAAAGGCACATAATTAAATGGAACATACCTCTGTGTTCTGGGCATGCAGAGCCTCATCTTGAAGAGCTTGGACTTGAAGCCGGTTAGAAGTCCTCCTGGTGGGCCAGGCCAGGCCAGAGAACAGACAACCTAAGCTTTGGTTGTTATACATTTCTGCTGGTGTCAACTGGGAATACATTCGGTTCTCCTCAACCCTAAAGTGATCTGGAAGCTTTCTGTTTATCATACTGATACAGCTAAAATAGCCATAAGCATAAAGTATAAAGGGGAGCTGGAGAATGGGCTGAAGGTACCATTACTTTCCTTCACTGTAGAAGGCCTGTTGAGGAGGGCATATTGGTCACACTCTGAAACCTAGGCACGCAGTTGTGAGGCATCCAGAAAGCACATTACAGACTATAAGGGGCTACACAGAAGTGACTCTTCATGATTGAGTATAGAGCCAACAGGTGCACCTCTGCCACCTTAGTCCTTGGTGATGCACCTTCATTTTGCCAGAACGCCACTACAGAGGAGAAAGCTTGCGGAATTGGAGCATGCTCAGTCAAGAGCCTTTCCCCTCGCCCCCAGGGACGGTTGGCTCACTCCCTGGTGGCTGCTCAGAAGCATCTGCTGTGAAAGTCCTGGGTCCTCAGCCCCTTTTCTGAGCCCCTGGGGAGGAGTCAGTCCTTACTCTACTGAGTTATAAGTCATGTTTCTGAAGAGACTAAAGAGAACTGTAACCTGAGGACTGTTTACACCTCTTAAAAGCAAACATCAAATAGTCATGAGAATAAAAAGGCAATGCAGATATTCCCATCTTTCTCAGGGCAGAGCTGTGAGGCAATGCATAGGGTTATATTTAGCTTTCATAGCCCAGCTGGTCATGACAGTGGTCAGAATGATTTTTTTGTATACAATGGCATCCTGACATCACAATGGCACATTTCTGAAAAATTCCCCCCATAGGTGTGGGGGAACTGTCAAACCAATATTGGTTTTTTACCCAAGAACAGAACTCATAAGTAGCCCAGACATTTTTTCATAAAAAAACAGATTTGTTACAATGAATACCTAAGTTTTCATGAGCAAGTAGCAAGGCTATAAAAACAAGAATACTATTCTGGACAATAATAGTGAAATAGTTAATGCTTATTGAGTGTTTGTTATGTGCTAGGTGCAGTTCTAAGTGCTTTCAATATATTAACTCATTAAATTTTACAGTAACCCCACAGGTTCTATTATCACAGTAACCCCATAGGTTCTATTATTCTCCCCATTTTACAGAGGAAACGCTAAGAAAGGCTAAATGACTTGATCTACTGAGATAGTTTTTTATTGTCCAAAAGAGATACATAGGTTTTTCAGATAAGCAACAGTATGGGGAAGATTTTGTTTACCTCATGGTACCGCCCTTATGGGGTGGGATCGTTTATACAAGAGATAACAGGCTGATGATCTCCTATGTCGCCTTTGGTGGAGAGGGATATGAATGCATATCCCCAGGGTTACAAAGCAGACATTTATTCTGAGTTCTCAACTAATACTTCATCTTAAAAATATGCTATTTTTCACTCTACTGTGAAATGTATTATTAATATAAACATGCATGGAGGCTTTTTTTCTCCCTCCATTTTTCAAACGAAATAGTTATTCCTGGAAGACTTCCTATGTTTATCCTGTGGCATTTTTCAGGCCCCCTGGTACACTGCCCAACATATCACTCGGCCTTTGGGAAAGACCTGAAGACTCAGCCGTCAGCTTAAGAGTTACACACAACATAGAGTAAAATCTAAAATGCACAGCTCTGGGTGCTGTGTGGCTGGATGAGTGATGGGCTCTAGAGCCAGACAGACCTGCGTCCTGGTCTCATTTCACCTTTACTTGGGCAGTTGATGAAGCTTCAATGACCATCAGTGTCTAGAACACTGCTTTAGGAAATAATCATGATCATTGTACCCCTTGGCCATCTCTGGACCTACTACCATGGACCTTTCTTGCTGGGTAGCCTCAGAAAACTTGTAAAGAAAACTAGTTCACTTTTAAAGGCCTCTACAAATGTAAACACTGACTCCACCACTGGGAAAAGACTGTTCTGTACCATGGCCTTTTAACCAGCAGGCAGTTGGCAGATGTTGATCAGGCTAAGCAGAAACTCACTTATGCTCCCTTGTGAGCTAGTCCAATGCCCAGTGCTCCTCTTGCAGGTGTCTGCAACGTGGACCATCCGAACCGAGCTGGCTATACTGCCGTGATGATCACTCCCTTGGCTTCTGCAGAGACCGACGAAGACATGGCTGTTGTCTGGAAACTCTTAAGAGAAGGAAACGTGAACATCCAAGCTACTCAGGTAGGAGGTGTGAACATGATCCCCTCTTTTTTTTTTTTTAAAGATTTTATTTATTTATTTGACAGAGAGAGACACAGCGAGAGAGGGAACACAAGCAGGGGGAGTGGGAGAGGGAGAAGCAGGCTCCCCGCAAAGCAGGGAGCCCGATGCGGGACTCGATCCCAGGACCCTGGGATCATGACCTGAGCTGAAGGCAGTCGCTTAACCAACTGAGCCACCCAGGCGCCCAACATGATCCCCTCTTTAATAAATATGGGTACCTCTCAGTTTTATTCTGCCAGTGGGGTGAGAAATTCCACAGAGATCCATGTAGAGTTTTTAACCCAAGAAGGCTGGGCCCTCCAAATGGCATCTGTCCAAAGCCTATACATTTGGTCTCCTCAAAAGCTTCTGAGATCCAGACAGGCTAGGATGGAGGTCAGTGAGCTTGTCATCTATGTCCTGGTCCACAACTGGGCAAAGTCCACCTGGATCTGACTTTTGAACGAAGTGATCCCACAGTTAGCACCAGCAGGAGAAGGCATGAAAAGGCTGAAAGCATTTGCTAGTTGGTTGCATAGGAAGCCCCTGCAGGTGACCCACCTCAATCATGAATTAGAAAACAGTTCAGAGGGTTGGCATGTCTCTGTTCAGCTTCCAGGCCCCTCTACTTGACAGCACAGAGTAGGGGTCTGGTCCTTAGCCAGTAGGGCTTTGCATTAGACAAGGCTCCATAGAGAACGAGGGGAACTCTTCAAAAGACCACATACCCATCTTTGACCAATATGAGAACAACAGGGTGCATGCAACTCTCCTTCCCCGCCCACCTCCCCAGAGTGATCAGAGAGGTAGCCTAACTATCAAGAACTGTGAAGGGTGTGAGATTGTACTCTACCTTAATGTTAACAAGTTGGCATGCTACAGTGTCATGGATGCTGGTAGAAGACATGAAACTCCTGTGCCAGAGACAAAGGACAGTGTATTATTCACAGCAAGAAGAGTAGTCAGAGCATTGGTATTTATACCAGTTCTCTGAGCCCCAATTCCCAATTCCCATAGGGCAGTGTGAGGATGGCCAGATCCCTTTGCATAGAGTGGGTTATATTACTGGAGAGGAACCTTGAGTGTAGGGAACCTGAATCTTTTATACTGGATAGTGAGTATGTCTGCCCTCTGTTTTGGAGAAGATACTATCTCTCTCTTCCAAGGCTGTTCACTGTACCAGCATCTTTAAAAAGACTGTCTAAATTATCATGATTTCATTCATATGTGGAATTTAAGAAATAAAAGAGAGGATCATTGAGGAAGGGAGGGAAACTAAAACAAGACGAAAACAGAGAGGGAGACAAACCGTAAGAGACTCCTAATCATAGGAAAGAAACTGAGGGTTGTGGAGGGGAAGGGGGTGGGGGGATGGGGTAACTGGGTGATGGGCATTAAGGAGGTCATGTGATGTAATGAGTACTGGGTGTTATAAAAGACTTATGAATCACTGACCTCTACCTCTGAAACTAATAATACACTGTATGTTAATTAATTGAATTTAAATAAATTTTTTAAAACCCCAAAAATACAAAATAAAAAGACCATCTAGAACAACAAGGCAGAAAATGCCTCACTCACTCACAAGATGTGGAAAAAACTAAGACCCATAAAAAAGTGCCTCCCAACAATATATTTAACTCCCCTGTCCGCCCCCGACAAAGTGACTGCAGATGGTAGCCTACCCAGATAGAGTCACTTTGCACACTCCATCTAATAGCAATCCTACTGGTGGCAAGAAACAGACACTTGTAGATTACTTTCTGTTTTTCAAAGTATTTTCACCTAGAGCTCCTACACCATTGGATTTAATAAGGCTGTTTTCATTTTAAATGTTTCCCAAAAACATGTTAATTTTTCTTCTAAATTGGTCCTCTATTTTTTTAAATTTTAAGATTTTATTTATTTATTTGACACAGAGAGAGAGAGAGAGCACAAGCAGGGTGAGCGGCAGGCAGAGGGAGAGGGAGAAGCAGGCTCCCCGCTGAGCAGGGAGCCCGATGCGGGGCTCGATCCCAGGACCCTGGGATCATGACTTGAGCTGAAGGCAGATCCTTAACCGACTGAGCCACGCAGGCACCCCTCTAAATTGGTCCTCTCGCAAGAAGGGATGGTCACCAAAATAAAAATCAATGCCCCCCCTTTTTAGAGGGGGGTGGGGTGCAGTAGAGGGAGACGGAAGGACTCTCAAGCAGGCTCCACGCCCAGTGCAGAGCCTGATGTGGGGCTTGATCTCACAAACCTGAGATCATGACCTGAGCAGAAATCAAGAGTTGGATGCTTAACGGACTGGGCCGTTTTTTTATAGAGGAGAAAGTGATGCTTTAGGAGGGTAAGGGGCTCATCCCAGGTTGTTAAAGGAGGGCGGGAATTCATAGCTGCTACTGCTCCCTTCCAGCTCCCTCCAGGGCTTCTCCATAGAGGAGAGCAGTAGGGATCAGGTCAGTAAGAGTGAGTTGGGAGCCTGGGAGTCTCCTAGGCTAAGCTGTTTCTTTCTTTTTGTATCTCCAGGATCAGCACAGTGCCTGGCATATAGCAGCAGTTTATAAGTATCAGTGAATTAAATTGTATAGAATTGGACAAAGAGGGAGGTGAGGATGACAGGAGAAGTCAGGCAGGGGGGCAGACAAGAAGACGATCTACATATGTCATCTGGCTTTCAATGGAAATCTCATGGTCTGGTTAGTCCAGTGAAGAAAGAACCATTACGGGGCAACTGGGTGGCTCAGTCAGTTAGGCGTCTGCCTTCAGCTCAGGTCATGATCCCAGGGTACTGGGATTGAGTCCCACGTTGGGTTCCCAGTTCAGCAGAGAGTCTGCTTCTCCCTCTGCCTCTGCCCTGCTTATGCTCTCTCTCTCAAATGAATAAATAAAATCGGAAGGGAGGGAGGAAGGAAGGAAGAACCATTACTTCAGGGCTGAATATAAGCAACCCAAAAGGCAAACAGTCTTCTCTGGACAGATTTGTCTGGGTTCTAGAGAAATGGAGAACCAGGACACCAAAGAATACATTCCCACATACTGAGCATTTGTCATACATTACCTCCCATGCTCCTAACAACAATAATAGCTAACATATGCAGAGCACCTGTTAAGCACTCCGGTCTCACAACAACCCCATAAGGCAGGTAACTTTGTTAAGCATTCCCATTTTACCAGATCAGGAAAAGTCATTGAGAGGTTAATTTGTCCAGATTCACACAGATAATAAGCAGCACAGCCAGGATTTTCCTATTGCAAACCCCCTTTCTTTTTTCTAAGCCCCAGCATTCTGGGCAGGGAAGCATAATTCATCAGTGACTGCAGATTGGCCCTTAATCAGTGAACAAACACATCAGCAAACATGTCCTCAGCACTTCTTACGTGTAAGACACAGCACTCAGAACTGCAGGGGACCTGAAAGGACAGAAAACAGAAAGGTTGCCTCATTCTCACAACTTTAAAAAAGGCTGATGTCCAGTGAGAGAGACAAGCCCGACCTCCCTGGAACCCAGGAGGACCATGAGGGCAAAATATAATCAAGTTGTGTAAGAGGACCATGGTTATAAAGGAAAATCTATGAGAAATAATGCCCAATTTGTAATCAGAAAAATCACTACTGGTGTGCCTGGGTGGCTCAGTCGTTAAGCATCTGTCTTCTGCTCAGGTCATGATCCCAGGGTCCTGGGATCAAGCCCCGCACTGCACTCCCTGCTCAGGAGGGAGCCTGCTTCTCCCTCTCTCACTCCCCCTGCTTGTGTTCCCTCTCTCGCTGTGTTTCTCTCTGTGTCAAATAAATAAATAAAATCTTTAAAAAAAAAAAAAAGAAAAATTGCTACCACACATTGTTATATTTACATCCTTTATGTCACTTAATTCCCACAAAAGCCCTGTGAGGTACATGGGACAGGTCATTATCATATTAATTTTTAAGAAAAGAAAAAAAACCAAGATTCAGGGAATACGAGGGATGGGGCCAGGGTCACGCACTAAGAAACAGAAGATCCAGGGCTTGGGCTCACTTTCTGACTCTGAGCCATTGCCATGTGCGCTAATGATTACAGGGATGTCACAAAGGGTCAATGGCGGGGCACCTGGTTGGCTCAGTCCAAAGAGAATGAGACTCTTGATCTCGGGTTCGTGAGTTTGAGCCCCAAGTGGGGTGACAACATTACTTAAATAAATAAAAAACTTTAAAAAAAATTGTCTGTGACTATGGATTAGAAATGACCACAGGACCATGCAGGCAGAGATCTTATCAAGACAGAGAGGGTTCTGGGTATCACTGAACTGAAAATACCAGGGGTGTTCTGAGCAGACGAAGGCTTCCTGGAGGAAGTTAGGCTGGGGCAGGCCATAGGAAGCCATGGTGGGGAAGCATTCAACCCTTCCTTTACTCCATCATTCCACATTTACCAGCATGTACTCAGTGCCAGGCACTGGGGGGACAGAGATGAAATGAAAAAGACTTAGTCCCTGCCATCAGAAATTTCACAGTCCACGAGAGAGACTGACAGGTTGCAATACCAAGTGGTAAGTTCTATGTTACGATCCCGTGCCGGAGGGGTTCGTAGAGGGCTTTAGAGAGGATGTGGCATTTGATCAGTGTTTGGGAAAAGCAGAAGTTTGCTGGGTGGAGAAGGATGGGTCCAACCCCAGCAGCAGGAGATTCAGATCAACAGTCATTTTCTGGCAAAGTCTTGCCCAAGTGTCCCCGGGCTGGAGAGGGGATCCTCACCACACCCCTGTGCTCTGTGTGGCAGGGGGGCCAGACCGCGCTGATGCTGGGAGTCAGCCACGACCGGGAGGACATGGTCCAGGCGCTGCTGAGCTGCCAGGCAGATGTGAACCTGCAGGACCACGAGGGATCCTCAGCCCTCATGCTGGCCTGTCACCATGGCAACGCCGACATGGTGCGCCTGCTCCTGGCACACCCCGCCTGCGACAGCACCCTGACTGACAAGGTGAGACTTCCAGGCAATTAACAAGTAAGTGTTTCACTTCCCTTCCTGAAAAGTGCCTGGCCAGCCAGCAGAATTCCAGGGACCACGTGACCCTGGGATCATGACCTGAGCCAAAGGCAGACGCTTAATCGACTGAGCCACCTAGGTGCCCCTGGACACATGCTTCTTAAATAAGTGTCTCTGTCAGTTGATGGTGATGACAGTGAGGATGGTGGCCAGCATGGACCCAGTGCTTGCTCAGCGCGGGGCACTGCATGAAGCACAGACTGCGGACCTCGTCATTAAAACCCTACAACAGCTTTATGAGGTTGTCTCTGTGGATGCCACCCGTGTGCTCAGAAGGAAACAGAATCACCTCATGGTTATGTAACATACCCCCATCACACAGCTGGTGCAGGCTAGCTCCATCGAATTCCTCAGAGTACTCTCAGGAGCCAGACCCTTTCCATGCATTAGCTCCTAATCCTCTCGATAATCTAGTGATGTAGACACTTCCATCCCCATTTTTACTGATAAGGAAACAGAGACCTAGAGAGTTTATGTAGCTGTCCTCAGGTCACAAGCTGCTGGTTCTCAGAGCAAGGACGCAAGCCCAGGTTTGACTTCAGTGGCACTATAATGTAATGCTTTAAACACACTTCCCTGTACTTTCTTAACATCCACAGTTTGCAGGGGAAAAAGGCCCAGAGAGGGGGAAGAGTCCCCTCCCTGCCCAAGGGGAGACCCTCTCACCGGGCCATATCTGAACCACCCGAGATTGTTCCATCACTGATTCAAGCTGCTGGGTCCCTCACATCACACCCGGGCAGCACACACCCTGGTCCAGCAATCTTCAGTGCCTGTGAACCCCAACTCCGCCCAAAGCCATTTCTGAGATAGAGAGCACAGACCCTCTGGAAATGCATGTGGGAACAGTGGTGGGTTGCTGGAAAAAAGAGCCTCCTGTTGCAAACATTATACAGTCAGACAAAGGATCTGTGTTCATGAACTCGCTGCAGGATTGTCCCGGGGCAGAAAGAGGCAGCCCCACCCTCCTTTCTGGAACAGGCCCAGGGTCCTCCTAGGAGGGACTACTGCCCCAGGGAAGCCTGAAAGGGCAGGCCTGTGGGACAGGGGGCACATCCCTGGTCAGCTGGGATACTCAGGCGGTCTCCTGGACGCCTCTGTCCAGATCTGTCACAAGTTGAGAGAGAGGTCAGTGACTGCTTCCTGGAGGTGGAGGAAGAGCGCAGTGAGGGCTCTCTTGTAAGCTGGACAAATCGAGTGATTGCTAGAAGCATGGGCTTTAGACACTCATTAGTTTGAAACTGGGTTTAGTAACTGTGTGACTTCAGGCAGGTCATCTAACCCTCTTAGCCCCTGTAAATGGGGAGAGTCGTAGACCGTACCTAAATATGGTAGTATTTGTGAAACACGTATTTGACATCGAGCAGATGCTCAGTTGATGGTAACAGTTATTGTCATGAATAGGTGAGCAGAGACAGCTAATCAGAAGCAACCAGCACAAGAATGAGTAGGGGCCTTGGCGTTTGCAGGCAGTGTCTGGAGGGACTAGGAGGATGAAGGTCTGGAATTAGGGGAGCAAGTCAGACAAGAATAGCCACCAAAGGGAGAAATGGCTCTCACTGAGGGGTGATTCTGCCCTCTGGGGGAGATTCAACAATGTCTGGAGACATTTTATTTGCTGTATTGGGGGAGGAGGGGAGGCGGGGATGCTGCTAAACATCCTAACGATAAAGAACTACAGATCATCTGGCCCAATACATCAATAGCTGTGGAACTCTGGCATGAGTGAGTGCTGAAGTCCAGGCAGGATTGGACCACTGTCCCAATCAGTGCTGGATCAGGAAGAGCCTGACCAGGGTTGAGGACCAGGGCAGGGCCAGAATCCTGGGAGGGAGGAACTGGACAGCTACCCAGATGGTGGCCAAAGCCCATTGTAGTGGAAGGTGAGAGGGTTAGGGGATGCTCGGCGAGTACGGGGTGCCCAGGAAGTGCTAGCAGCAGGCCCACAGAGGGTTCTAGACCCTACTAATGGCCCACTCACCTGCTGCCTGCTTGGGTGAGGGCTGAGTCAGGATTCACACCTCAATTTCCCAAAGGTAACTTGCATGAGACATTTCAGAGGGACCAGGGAACTGCCGACGGAGGCCATACTGAGCACCAAGCCCTGTTACTCCAGCTTTACCCTGAGGGTAGGGTCCAGCCCTTACCATGGCCACCCTGTCGTTTCAATGTGCGCCTTCCCTATGGAGACTTAGACGCGGTTTCGATGACTTGATAATTTCTTGGAAAACTGAGTGAGAATTCTGTACTGAACTAGGTTTATCTCATCCTACCAATATTTACAGGTTGATATAAATGTGGAACCCCCAGAACAGCCAGTAAGGCACTTTCTCCAGGTTTGGAAGTTAATTTGAGAAATCAGTTACCCAGCCTCTGGGGGGCTGCCCGAGAGATGAGGAAGAGGAAGTGGTGGGGACAGCTCTCTGGGCTCTGAGGCTCACACTTTGAAGGGCTTATTTCGGCAATGCCTCCAAAGTACCCATCAAACTGAAAGCTTCCTAAGGCAGAGACTATGCCTTGCTCCTTTTTGCCTGATACATTGTAGGTTCTTGTCATATTGAAAGACAGCCCGACTACTACACACACACACACACACACACACACACACACGCACACACCACACAGGTGTGCTGGCTGCCTGAGCCCCTCCCATCTCTTCAGTCTTCAGTGTTCCCAGCTGGGACTGGCCAGGTGGGGTTCCCACTGGAACCATGCACTGTCGCCTTGTTCCCAGGACTCTGGCAAGGGCATTTGAGGGATACACCCTCCCCAGGTCTGCAGGTGAGAAGCCCACAGATGCAGGCTGTCACCTCCCAGTGGCCCTGTTCAAAGATGTATGTGTCCCCTAGGACTGGCCCATGGCTCTTTCCCATAATCATAGTAATCACACCATCTCCACCTCATAGAGCCTCAGGGTTGACAAAGCACAGCAATGGAAACCAGAGTACAGGGGGACAGGCCTACCAAAACCCAAGCCTCTCTCTTCCATCGAAACTCTGCAGGCTGCTTTTAGAAGACTCCTCTGCTTAAGGTCTTTGCTTGATTCCAACCTAGGAGAGTACTCCTTAGCAGTGCCTTTGCTCAGGTTCATCATCAGCTTGAAATGAATACCTCTTTGTTATCATCCAGCGTTCCCTCTGTCAATGCTCACTGGGTGCCGACCAAAGGGCAGGCACTGGGCCAGGTACTGGGATGTTCTTGCTGGGCTGGCAGCCACAGGCCAGATCTCGCGTCTGACCTCATGGAGACCTTAATTTATCAAACAGCTCCACAGATACCAACTTAAAAATGGTGGTGAAAGGAAGGTACAGAGAGTCATGAGGCATTTTCAGGAAAAGAAACTCTTATGTTTGATGAAGCCATGCACATCCTTCGGGGTCCTACTGAAACACCACTTCCTTCCTCTGCTCCCTGCACCCCAACACACACACACACACAGCACCATCCTCTCCCCTGAGCTCACTCGGTTTCTATTCTGGTATGTCTGGCTCTGTGCCATGCATTATAGTGATTGACAAGTGTGTGGAGCCCCGAGGGCAGCTGGACTCCATCCTTGTGAGACTGAAGAGCTCTAAGCTGCGTGTGAACACCCCCCACCTGCTTCCGTGGATTCTCACATTTCAGGAAGTAATTCCACTCATATACAATAGGGCAGAGAACAATCCAATGGGGTCTTGGGTGCCCCCCAACATATTAAATCCATGAATAGTTATGAAGCAGAATATAAAAATATTCACACTCCCTGGGCTACAGAAGGGTCACATCGGGTTTTGCCTCCAAATGAGTTACCAAAGAAGTAGTTTTGAAGCTGTGGGATTTCAGAATTCTAGAATGGGACTGAAGAGACCATGGCTGCCATCACAGAGCTCAGCGTCTACTGCGTTGAGTCAGCCTTCCCCCTCACTCTTTTTTTTAAAGATTTTATTATTTATTTATTTGACGGAGAGAGAGAGAGAGAGCACATAAGCAGGGGAACAGCAGAGGGAGAGGGAGAAGCAGACTCCCCTCCGAGTAGGGAGCCCAATGTGGGGCTCAATCCCAGGACCTTGAGATCATGACCTGAGCCAAAGGTAGATGCTTAACGACTGAGCCACCCAGGCGCCCCTCCCCCTCACTCTTTATAGAGAATGGCCTGTGTTGTTGGCTGAGAGCCCCTCTGAATACCTCTTCTTTAGACAGTGGGCCTGGCAGCTCCCCGCACAATGTAAAAAGCACCGTGGCATCCTGCATCAGGTGTAAAAATGTGCATGTCCTTCTATGCTGTAGACCCACTTCTCAGAGTTGGTCCTTAGGAAATAACTAGAAAGGGGGAAATGCTTTCTGCACTAAATCTGTGATGGTGCAGACCTGGAAACAACCTAAGTCTCCAATAGAAGAGAAAGAGTTCAGTAAGTTATGGAATATTACACAGCCAATAAGAAAAAATTATATGTTATGATGACTGTGCAAGAACAAGGAAAAATCTTCTAGTACGCCACGATACGTTAAAAATAAAAGCAGGTTCAAAACTGATATGTACTATCACTCCTCTTTTTAAAAACCAACAACAAATTTGCACAAGAGAAAAGACTAGAGGGAAATACACCAAAATGCTAACTTTCATGAAGATCTGGGTAATGGAAAAATGGAAGAGTTATTTTTTTCCTCTGTTTTCCGGTTAAAAAAAAAAGTATTAAAAACCATGTGGGAAAAACCAACCAACCATGTGACACTTATTTCCATCGCACAGATTTCCCAGAAGTGACTGCTGTTTCCATGGAAGGCGACCCATTTTTCATGATCCTCATGCCATTCCAATCTCCCCCTCTCCTAGGGTCTCTGGATGCTTGGAATAGACTTTGATGCCCCATGCCTACTTCCAACTCACCCTTCTCTAGGGCAGGAGGCAGACAGGTTAAAATCTGTTTCTCTTTTTCTCTCTTCCCTGTAGGCTG